TCTTCTCAGTGTGCATGTTGGCACCAGGAATGAGCTGGGTAGCTTCGGCATACATGCGATTGTCGTCGCCAAGGATGTCTCTGCCAATCTGCGTCAACTGCTCCACAGTCCAATCTCTTTTGGTCTCGCCATTGAAGTCCAATCTGGTCATGGTGAGCCGCAAGAGTGTCTGTACTTGCCTAGTCAAGGAAGCGAGGAAGCGGTCGGCAACACGAGCATCGTTTTTGGGGAGGCCGGCATCATACACAGCCTGAAGGAACTTCTTGGAGTAATCTCCAATCGACTCAGAAGGAAGCATTACCATGGTAAATACCTCTTTTACCGAACGGGATGTCACCAAGCGCGATCCATGTCTTGCTGTAAAGCAGATCTTGGCCGCGTTCCAATCTACACACTTCTTCAAATCCATCTCTACCCATCCATCGTCACTATGAGGCAAGCAGAGCGGCAAAAATCTCTTCCAAACTAGTTCAATGTCCTGAAGGGACGACTCAATAACCTTTTGGAAGGTGCGAAGGAAGTGGTCTACTGAGTGAAAGACCTCTTCATTCGGGAAGGATCTAATCACATCGTCTGCCAACTGGAACTTAGGAAGATCTCTTCTATTAAGAGTCAACCCTCCAGTGCGACTGCTCTTCTCTACAACTTTCACAGAAGGCGAAAGGTACTGACTGCATGCTATTTCTATATCTATCATTTCTTTGACGCGTCTGACCTTATTAAGGGCTAATTCAGCTGCTTGCTCATCGTTCATAGCGTGAGCAGCGCTGACAGCCTCCACATGCTGTTGAAGTTCTAGTCTAAGTTTCTCTGACAAAGACAAGACTGTTGTAGCAGCATTCGCTACCAAGGGACGAAGGGGAGAGGGAGCAACAAATTGTCCAGGGGTGGAGCTGGCAAAGGAGATGTTGTCACTCAGACTGGCGATGAGGTCCTCCTCAGTCATGACGGACATGGCATCCTCATCATGAGCAGGGATGATGGCGGCGGGATAGTTCTCAGCAGAGGGGTTCATGGTAGTTCACGAAAAAAAAATGTTGTGGTGGTTGAAGTTGAAGAAGTTTTTAAGAGGAAGAATTGAAGATTTGAAATTAGGAACGAAGATTCGTGAGAACTTGTGTAGGTTTTGTTTATTGAGAAAGATTTTGTATCAAAGTTTGACCAGGTTCCTACACTGAACTACTACTGCTATTTATATTGTTTTGGATTGGGAAAATTATATGACTGGGGTCAGGTAATCGATCCTATCTGAGCCTTAATCAGAGCAACGTGATCTTGGGATAATTAATGTATGATTAATTATATAAATGTGTGTAGTCCCAATGAAGTATTAACATCGAAAGTAAATGTGTTTATGAGTTATAATTATGCTTATAATAATCCACTGATGTATCCCATATTATGGTGATATCATCATATGAAATATAATCACTATCATGCATGCTAAACCTGTGTGTTAAATAATAAAGTAATCGGTAGACACCTTTGACTGGAATAGCTGAGGCCTTATATTATTTCCTTCAGACTTATTCTCAATTACAGCAGTAGTCAATACTCATTTACAACAAGTAAGAATTACAAATTAAATTCTATATATCCGTTTTAATATAATGACAATAAGGGTTTTACTAGCTATTGATGCTTGACGATTCGTGGCAGCAATGCTTCAACTACTATTCAAATAATGTTCAATATAAAAGTACAACACTTGTTGGGTGCCTTTAATATTTTTGAGTAAAATACTTTCGGGTGTAATAATCTTGATTAAAATACCCGTGAGTAAGATTGATTATAATATTATAAATATCATTATTAATTGTACATCTAGCACACTAATTGTTTGTAAGTTTCGGTCAAGTCTCGACAGTCAATCATCTGATATTTTTGTTAGAGCAACCCTTTCAATTTCGATATTTAACAAAAAAAGGCGTTGGTATATATATATATGTATATATATAATATTAATTAACACAGTACGGAAATACACGATAATCATAATTAAAACATGAGTTTAAAGTAGGCAGGGAAAGTATGCCAAAGTACATCACTAAGTACGCATTTTACTCTCTCGTAATGATATAGCTCTCAATACCAGTGTGTTTCGTTTTATATTACCAACCCAAGATATTATAATGGACGCCACAAGTACTTTGTAACTCTAATGTCTTGAATTCAAAAAATCAAATAGTAACCACGATAGTACTCGACATAACCGTGTATATATTTGACAGTATAGAAATACTTATTTGTTTTTTTCTATCATTATTTACTCTTTATATTAACTTATTTTATTAACAGCTTCTATTGTATTTAATTTTAAAGAAGAAGAAAACAGAGTACTTGTATGTGATACCCAGAGTCAGATATACTTGACGTCTTCAAGAAATTATACTTATATAGTCGAATATTGTTTTCATGCTAATTGAGCCTCCACAGTTCTAATTAAAGCAAGAAATATTATCTTTGTTTTCAAATAGGCTCTTGTAGAGAATGGTAAATGTAATTGCGAAAATATTTACAAGGCAATTAGCAAGAAAAGTTTCATATTTATTTTACAGTTTTCGATGCACCCGAGTTGGTCGATATACTTTACATTCAAGTGGCTGCTGAAGAAAAAGAAAAAGAAAAAGAAAGGCATATTTTTATACTAATGTGTCTTACATGACATGGAAATAAGCACTGGTGCAAATCATTAGGAGTACTGCTACTAAACTTTTCGACTAGTTGGCGGATGGGTATACATAAGAAATTATTGGTTTTGGTCATAAATAAATGAATATGGTACATCAAAGGATACCATTCTGCGCACACACCCGCACTCATGCAAAACAATCGGATCCAGTACATAATCAAATAACACTGGACTTATAGGTTTTTATATTTCTTACCATTTTATCATTTTTCATGAAAATAATTAAACTGCCAACACAAAGCAACTGCCGAAAAAAACAAAATAATATTAGTACAGTTGCATCTAACCAAAACTCATATACCACTACAGTCCTCATCGTCCACCATAATAGCAACGATTTTGCTAATATTGAAAGGCAATTAGTTATTCCCTTCTTTTATATTGTTTATCCACGCACACAAACGCCAACTGTACGAAGAATTAATTTGAGTTGGGTGCAATTTTAGACAATCCAATTTCTTTGTCATTCTTTCTTTCTTTCTTTCTTTTTAAATTCAGTGCAATAGATCTCTGATTCCTAAAAAAGGATTAGAGAACACATAGAAACACCTATAGAAACAGATGATTTTTTAACATCAAGCAAAATACATCGACTCTTGTCCAGGGTGAAAAAACGCGTGATGAAGGATACAGATGAAGTATAGAATAACAATAATGAGAATAAAAAATGGTTGATACCTTTGGTGTGCGGGATGAGGCCAAGGTAATTTGATTGACAATAAACGTGAATGAGAAAATATTTGGGAGTTATTGGAGTCTCACTTTGACCTCCATGTGGTCGATGGTTTTAACCTCTTAAAATACATTACCATTGTTGTATAACTTATTTATTTTTATTATTGTTTTGTAATCGTTCCAAATTCTATCTACACAAAGAATCAAAATGGGGAAAAACATCGTTTAATTGTTGTGGCTCAAAATTTAAATATTATTTATTTATTTATTAAGCTATGTCATACGGGGAATAAGCCAATCGTCTACCTCTCTTGCGATGCGTACTGCCTGTTCATACATATTTTCCCAGGGGTGGAAAAATCTTATACTTTACTTCCTTGTAATTTTATGATTTTCTGGTTCTCTTCCTTTTTAAAAAAAAACCGATTGACTTTCTGTGGTGAAACTACTTATTCTTAAGTTCTTTACAAAACAGGTTTAACTTATTGTGCCATCACGGATACTATTATCACTCAAAATAAACTCTTGTCACAATAAAAATTCATATTAGTTAAGAATATTGTGTCTTATTTTTTGAACCATTGTAATCACTGTGAATTATCCCAAGCATATATAATGGATAAAAGCCCTTTATTTGTAAACAAAAACTTGCCTCACCAATAAATTGGCTTTCGTTTCTGGTATGTAATGCACCTTTATCATTACTCAATCTAACATGAAATGGAAGCTTTTCTTTTGTACATATGCTTTCTACAATAGCCATAAGTACAGACGCTATTCTTACCACCTTTTTCTCATGAGTATTAAACCTTTACAGTAAAAGTATATTTTTCGATCAAGGTATATACCAACAAACGAAAATTAGTTATCATCACTGCACACGCCTACTCTTCTTATTATTCACTGTTTCAAATATATATATATCGATTATTCCTATTTTTGCCAATATATACTACAGGGAGCCTAAAAAATATATAAAATAAAAAATCATAATAATGTGGCTTTATCATACAAAGAGAATGCGAGTAATTGTTTTCTAGTTGATACATATCAAAACTTGCTCGTGGTCTTGGTGAAAGCTTGCGCTTTTAACAAATATAATATATTTTTGGAGATGTTCTTGGTAAAATACGTGTGTGCATACATGTGCGCATGTGTATGATTGTAGTAATTTCAATTGTAACTTTCATGGCAAGTTAATGTGAATATGTATGGTTATTGAAAGAGATGCACACAGAAGAAAAATAAAATAAATAAATAAATAAATAAATAAGAGTATTATTTTTGTTTATTCTGCTTGAAAAAACAACCCCCCATCCTCATTCCTCAAGTGGAATCATTGCACCAATGACTGCATTGAAAATATTTTTTTACAACTTTTCAACCTCTTCACAAAAAATATAAAGAATATCAAATATATATATATATACCTCTTATAATTGAGATTATTTGAACAATCTGTCGCCTCGGTTAAAGGGCACGCAAGATACCAAAAAATAAATAAATAAATAAAAAATATTGGCTTCAGTCGGCATTTATAATATTATTTTTTTTTTTTATTTTTTTTGAGAAATCAATATTTATTCAAAAAATAAAATTAATATAATTCTACTTTTCTCGACTTCTACTGATTGTATTTGTACGCTTCTTGGCTCTATCGATAGCTAATGACGAATAGTAACTGAAAAGTGGTATTAGAGGCGCATTGTCGGTCTTTGGAATTTTTCGGAGTTTGAAGCATGCTACGATTAGATGGTCGCCGGGATTTGGTATAGTGCGCAGGTGGGTAAAAATTAAAATAAATCAAATATTTCCACCCTAGCCGAATATCATATATATATATATATATATTAAAAAAAAATAGAATTTATCTAAAAAAAATTAATATGTTTATTCACAATTTTTTTGAAATGCTAATTTTTTTTAAATATAATAAAAGCATTAAAATTAAATATAAATAAATAAAAAACCAAATAATAAAAATAATAAAAAAATTTTTAAAAAAAAATAATAAAAAATAAAATAAAAAACCAAATAATAAAAAAAAAATAATAAAAAAATAATAATAAAAAATAAGAAAAAAATATAAAAACAAAAATATAAAAAAAAAATAAAAATAATAATAATAAAAAATTAAAAAAAAAAAAAAAATGTTCATTTTATACTTCAGCTAAATAGTTTATTTTATATTAATTTTTTCGTTTGCTATACTATAATAAAAAATATACTCTAGAACTATAATATCTCTATTTATATTTCATTTCTTGAGATTTTAACTTTTATAATAGTCTTATTATAACAAGCAATCATAAACCTTCCCTTAATATGTAAACAGACTTTTCCTTTACATCTCTTTAATTTAATAAACAAATTATTAAAAGAAGAAAACTTATAACAGTAGTATTATACTGTTGTTTTATTACAAAAAAAACTGTCAGACATTATTTTGATGAATCCGTACAATCTGAAAATAATTAACCACAATACCTTCTTATGCGCAGTAATATCTTCCTGAGCATTAACCAAAGTATAATGACTTTCCTTTTATTTAAATATAATATAATAGCTAATTCAGATAATGCGCAGTATTACTTTAGAAAACTATATATGACAATTCAATTCATATCCATAAAAAGTATCTTTTATCCTATCTTTGATTTTACATATACTCCTTGATTCCCAGTTGGTTTGACCTTTTGACTTTACTATAGTAAAAGGAAGACCAACCCAGATCGGGAACAACAAAACGACGCAAAAAAATCGAAATAAAAGAATGCTACCATGTAGGGTCGAACAGGGGTGCTCAGAACCAAAACAAAGTGATAACACTTGAGCTATGCAGCAACATTTAAACATTTTTCATTAAAATCAAAATATTACCGTTGCCATCAAACATATATATATATAAAGATTATAAAAGAGTTGTGAATATATATAAAATTAAAGATTAAATATGATTAGAGTATGTAACTTATATTTGACGAGATGATTGGATATGACTTGGATATTGACAAGTGTGAATATATATAATGTGATAGATCTAATGGTATTGACTAATATCAGAGACAGATAAGATATTATAGACTAATATTAGTATTAAATCAAATGTTATTGGCTAATATTGATTATATATTACATTTTATTAACTTATATAAGTAGTAAATTGGATGTGATAAATATATATATATAATACAGATTGACTGTTATTGATTTACATATATATCAGATCAGATATCATTTATTTATATATATACTAGATTGGTAGTATTCAGCTTATATATATATGAGATTGACTGTTATCCACTTATATATATATCAGATTGGCTGTAATCCACTTATATATATATCAGACTGGATATCATATGTTTATATATAATGCAAATCACCTGTCATTAGCTTATATATATGCAATTGGCGGACAACAGCTTATATATATACCCAATTGGCAGTCAACAGCTTATATATATATACCCAATTGGCAGTCAACAGCTTATATATATACCAGATCGACTATCATCAGCTTATATATATATCAGATCGGCTGTGATCCACTTATATATATATATCAGATTAGATATCATATGTTTATATATAGTGCAGATCATCTGTCATCAGCTTATATATACCCAATTAGTGGACAACAGCTTATATATATATCAGATCAACTACTGGTTTTATCCATTCAATTGGCGCCTATTTCCATCTAATTAGCATCCGTTTCCATCTAATTAGAACCCATTGACATCTGATTGGCTTCCATAGAAATTGAATTTGCGTCCATTACCAACTGAATTGGCTCCCATTTCCATCTGAATTTGCTCCCATTGCCATCTGAATTTGCTCCCCCCCTTTTACTATTGGCAGAAGGGTACATGGCACTCAAATTTTTTATCCTTATGGCTTACAATTTTTTTATATAACCTTAGTATTTTTTTTTGTAAACGTCGTATTTTTTTTATATAACTGCCATATTTTTTACATAAGTGCCAAACGCCTAATGTAATAGCACTTCAATATATGTAGATCTTTCTACAAAGATATGTCATAGAAAATATCTATAGAGAGAACTAACAGAATATGCAAACTTTTCTCTAGATTACTTTGTTAAAGTTAAATACCTTACTGCAGTTATAAGATAATAAAGCAAGTATCTCATTATAATAATTATGTTAAAATTGAAAATGCAATGATATTATTTGTATTCTTTCTTTATTGCAGAGTAAGTTTCGAATAAAAGATTCATTTTTTCGTCACTTGTAGCCTCCTTGTTGTTTTTAATGAAAAAAACAACTGGAGACTTTCTCCACTTCAAAATATAGCCACCAGCAGTTGTTTGTTTCATATTTACTATCTTGCTGGCTTTTTTGATAGTTAATCCCCTTATGAAGTAGAGATAAAGAAGCTTTTTTATATCTTTATCAGTAGGCTTTTGATATTGCCCTCTACTTTTTTTGGGGGTTTCGTCTGTTGTTGACGGGGCAGAACTTTTTGGATCTTCTGGCATTTCAGGCTCTTCAAGCTCTTCCATGATTTTTTCAAAGGCACTGTTATATTCTTCAAGTTTCTTGTGTAACATTGTAGGGTTTTCTGATAATAAAAGGTGAAAAAATAAAGAAATAGGAAGATATGTTAAAGTGACATATTTTATATAAATATAGTTATATCTAGCACATAGCAGTTATAATTAAATAGTAATTACTTAAGATGCAAGATAAAAATCAGAACATAAGTTGAAGCAGCAAGAATAGATGTAAAAAAGATTGAGTTCACTAGAAAAACATACGGGAATTACCATGTACAAAGTTAAATTATAACAATAGAAAATCTGGGGTATTTTTTCATCTCAGCTTTTTTTGTGTGTTCAAGATGAAAACACTGTTTTCCGGTTTTCTATTGGCTTGGATACAACAGGCGAAAATATTATTTATTATTATTATTATAAAGACATAACATTTCATTATAAAGACATAGCAAATTTAGTAAACGTTGTACTTGTTTCCTTTTTCTCTTAACACTTCAAAGTAAAAATAAATAAACATTATGTCCACAATTCCTGAACTCTACAACGAAAAGTGCCATTGTGCTGGATGTAGTCAGAACGATCTCGGCTATAGTTTTGTTGCCAGAAGAACTGCTCAACGTCATAACAAAAGGGCAAGACTAAATGCCATAAGATGTGAAAGGGGTACAATATTTGAATTTATTTAATTGTATTGTAATCCATGAAATAACGTGTTGTAATAGACATGTCTACCCAAAGAAATATGATGGAGGTCGATGATGAACGTAAGGTTTATTTAATTCAGATACTGTTAGGTATTAACCAAGTGTTATATTCTAAATGTAGCTATCTTAACCCATCAACCCGGAACCCTGAAAGAATCGTACACTCAGACAAACTCACCTGTTTGGGAAGGAGCTTCAATGTCTGACACTGAAGACGTTTCCGTTACTAATGACGCGATCAGCAATGGCGACAATGATGACAGTGGAAGCAACAGCAATGAAATCAGTGAAGACGAAAGCGAAGACGATGTTATTGAGCTCGACGACAATGAATTGAATAGTGAAGGTCAGTTAGTGTAAAAAATT